GCCATTCATCTCCCCCTGTGCCCCCCCCCCTGCCATGACATTACCAACAGGAGCCCCTGTGGGCCCAGGACCTCCTGGTACACCGCCTGGTCCGCCGGGGGGCCCCTGCACCCCCTTGTATTTTGAGGCTCTCTGCTTAATAAAAGCAGCCATGAGCTGTGGATTAGAGCGCAAGATGTTGAGGACTTGCTGCTGCTGGAGTGGTGAGCTAGGTGAGCGCAGAGTGCGTAACAGGTCCTGGAGGGCTGCCTGGGGGATGTTCCCACCAGCAGCCCCCAGAACAGCAGCTGCGCCAAATCCCGCGGCGACCCCCCCCCCGGGCCCCTGCTGCTGCTGTGCCATATTCATCAAGGCAGCATGGCCCTGAGCCTGTTGCTGCTGCTGCTGCTGCTGAGCTGCCATCATGGCTGAATGGCCCATTTGGTTCATCAGAGCTTGTCTCTGCTGGGGTGGCATCCCCGGACCAGTCCACTGCTGTTGAGGTTGTTGAGGGTTTTGGAGTGGTGCACCCATTCTCGGCTGTTGAAGCTGCACCTGAGGGGGGAGCTGGCCCTGGGGCAGGTTACCCTGCTGAGGGGGTTGCTGCATGGGGCCCCCCATCATCCCCGGCACAGCACCTTGTTGCTGATCCATGTGAGCACGAGCAGCAGCCACTGCTGCCTGTGACTGTGGAGGGATGCCCTGGGGTCCACCCACCCCTACTGACCCTGGGTGCCCCACGCCCATCTGCTGACCTTGACCCTGTTGATGGTGAGGGGACATCATGCCTGCAGTGGCCTTGGCGGCTTGTCTCTGCAGAGCCATTTTCCTCTGAGCATCGGCTACCTGTTGGATCTTCATGGCAATCTCTACTGCTGCCTGTGGAGGGCCAGCAGAAGGCTGCTGTTGCTGCTGTGGAAGGGGAAGCTGGCCCTGGGGCTGATTAGGAGTCTGCTGGCCCCCAACGCTTCCAACCATGACAGAGCCACCAGGCTGCTGATGGGGAGGTGTTGCAGAGCCAAGGACTGGTTTACCCTGGGACTGGTGGATGGGGGAGGAGCCGGGGGGTCTGCTGGCATATGGGGGCAAGTTGTTTGGATGCTGCTGTAGTTGCTGACCACTGGCCCCTGCTCCACTTTGCTGCTGCTGGACCTGAGAAAGCATCTGCTGCTGATGTTGGGGAGAACCCATTATTCCCCCAGCCCCACCACCTCCACCTACTACCTGCTGGAACTGGTGGTGAAGGGGGTGCTGCGGAGGCATCCCACCACTCTGTGAAGGCATCCCACCTGGCTGTGGTTGCTGCTGTACTCCAGGTCCTGGACCCATTCCCTGCTGCGGCACTGGAGGCATGGACTGAGTTGGGGTTTGGGGAGTTGGGGGTTGGGTTCCGCCAGATGTTGGGGTACTGGGTGCTGTGGTACCACTGTTTCCTGGTGATGGAAGCCCGGCCATGGGCCCCCCTGATGGCCCTCCAGCCGGCTGCCCCACCCTCTGCATGCTGGCCATTCTTCTCCTTAACATCTGAGCCTGCTGGAGCCGGTGCTGCAGCTGCTGCTGCCGGAGCTTTTGCTTGATGTTCAGACAGAACGGGACTGGACATTTGTTCTCCTGACAGTGTTTGGCATGGTAGCAGCACAGAGCAATAAGCTGCTTGCAGATGGGGCAGCCGCCGTTCGTCTTGCGCTTGCAGCCTTTTGTGTGCTGAACAACACGCTTCATCTTCTGGCAGGATGGCAGGGAGCAGTTGGCGTTGCGGCATTGGCAGGCGTGGACCAGCGACTGAATGCAGCGCTGGATACTTAGGCGACGGGAGTCTCCGGGGCTCTGGGTAGCGGCTGCTGACTGGTTGTTGCTGTCGTCATCCAACCCAAGTCCCAACTTATCCATCTTGTGCTCATGACCTTTAGTGTTGTAGCAGGTGATGCACAAGTCATAGTCCTGGAGAAGGGAGGGAACAGGAGATATGGGAAAATAAATATGAATGCAAGAAGATGTCAAACTTTCCTGTGAAACCAAAACATCACAAATCGGTTTAATGAACATTGTACATTCACTACATTTTGTGAAGTCCTGGGCTTCTGATAATGCTTTCAACTGGTTCATGCCCACACCATCAGGCTTTTTGTTTTGCTGTTGTGCAACTGTCACACCTAAAGAAACAGGACTGAGTCTTTGTCACTTTTCCTGCATAGACTGTCCAAACACTTAGCTTGGAATGCTCAGAACAAACACTCTGGTCAAAGCAACTACTGTTTGGTGTTGCAGATGCCACGAGGCACAAAACAGTCGCCCGCCACTGCAAAGACCGACTCAGTCTGCAGGAGCAGTGCATCTGGCCGGGAAGCATCACATCTTCTTTGCTGCACTAGCAGCTAAAGTCACAACAACAGTCTGAAAGTTGGTGCTGCTGCCAACTCCATATGCACCAAAGGTAGCACACAGCTTCCTACGCCCACCACAGGCCAACAGCCACGGTGGAGTTAGCAATGACACTGACCACAGAGAAATATCTATTCCAAACTGAAGGGGAGAAAAAAAAGCACATCTGTTAAACCACCAGGCTTCTAATTTCAAATCTAACATCACTTATTCAGACATTTTCATGCAGATTTGTGCTTTCAATTATGGTGTACGCCTGTATATTATATGCATGTCACGAATACAACAGAATCCAATAATTATGGAAAAGGGTGGAAGGACTGAATGAGTTTGTGCTAAGTTGGCTTAGTAACATTACTACCACACAACACTTAACTATGTGTGTAGCCATGTATCAGTTTATCCTGCCAACTCTAAAACCCAAGAGTTTTTCAGTTTATCGCCTCTGAAGAACATTTTCAAAAAGCCTAGTATGAAAAACACAAAGTGTTTGAAACTTGAGTGAGGTTATGTCAGCACTCTCAAGGTTTCACCTACTAATGAGGAAAAACACATTACAATATGCAGATTATTCTCAGGGTCAGTGGCTTCTCACCTCACAGACAGTGCAGTGGAAGCGGGTCTCCACATGGTGTTTACACTCGTTGCAGGTGTAGACGAAGCGGTCCTGGCTCTGGTTATGCAGCTCCACCAACATACACATGGAGCTCCACTTGGACCTCCTGAGGGAGCTGAACTCCAGGTGCTTGTCCCTGGCAAGAGTCAGGAAGGCATCACGGCCGTCCATCAGGTCACAAGCCATCAGGGGGTCCGGGTCAGTGATGGAGGGCAGGGAGTTGGCGGTGGGACCAGCAATGAGGCGGATGACAAAGAAGACCTGGGAATTAGAGGTGGAGAGCAGGTCAGTGGAGGTCAAAGTGCGAGTCAGGCCCCATGCTTCCAGACACACTGATCAGATTCGGCTTTAGATTCCTCTTCAGAAAACAGTAGAAATCAAATGACCACATTTATCCCCATGTACAGTATCCTGGCCTTCAGTCAACACACTACACAAATCACAGCAGGTCATTCCTGTAGATTTCCCATGTATTCATATATAAATGTTGTGGTATTTTTTTGCTGACAGTTTGTTAATTAGCAACATTAACAGTCACTAATAGATAGCGTTAACTCAAAAACAAACGTGACACAATTTTCTACAAATCTAAATGTTAAGAAATGTTTACACCTTTTGTTGTTGGCAGGTTGAAGGTGCCCTGTGGAGTGTTACTCCACAAAACATACTGTGTATCGTGTCTTCACTGCCTCTACAGGTGCACTGCAGGAGAATCTTATGAAGCTAGAGACAAGAGCATTACGCTGCAGCTGAGAACAGCTGCCTGCTGATGCCAACAGCAGCAAAACAAAGTGAAGTAGTGGTCTGAAAAAACAAAACACTGAGCTGAAAGATGGTAAAATCTCCCCTAAGGAGGTACGCCTTAGGGAATTTTAATGATCTGGATTCACAAAGAGGAGTGACGACAAGCTACTGTAATGCGCTTACAGTCATACAATCCAATAATCTAGCAAGCATTATTGCTCCAATTAAAACCAGACTTGCATACCTCCTTATGTTTCTCCATAGTGGCATAGAGTTTCTGAGAAAGGTCATTGGAAACACTGGGCATCCCTGGTTTCTTCTTGTTGGCTCGACTCAAGCTGCTCTTGTTCTTGCTCGTCTTTTTATTGTTCTTCTTTTTGGCATTTTTGCTGTCTCCTTTTGTGGCCTGTCAATGTTTAAATGTCACTTTCAGTACAAAGAACTGCCAACAGTGTCAATATTTGTGACAAAAATGAGCCTGAGAAGTGATTATTACATTTAAGTAAGTAACATTTATTTCTATAGCACTTTTCTAGACCACAGTTACAAAGTGCTTTACAAAGAAAATACACAATAAAGGCAAAGGAACAACATCATTGAACAAATATCAATGAATAAAAGTAAATATCACATACAAACACAGAGAAAAACCCTAGTCAGTACTGTTAATGAGCGCTTGCTTAAACAGACAGGTTCTTAGGAGTAAGCTGAAGGCCGTGACATCAGGGGCAGAATGGAGTTCAAACGGAAGACTATTCCACAAATTAGGGGCAGCTACGGCAAAAGCCCGACCACCATAGATTTTCAGCGTAGATCTAGGCAACTTGAAGATTAGAAGACCAGATGGATCGACCAGGCAAATACAAACACAAAAGCTCAGAAATATAAGAAGGAGCCAACCCATTCAAAGTAAAATCTTGATCCTGCATGGCACAGGAACCCAATGAAGAAGGTGCAGAACTGAGGTTATGTGCTGACGTTTCCGTGTATTGTCAGAAAGCGGGCAGCTGCATTTTGAACCAGCTGAAGACAAGACAGGTCTAGGACATCCCCACGTGCATGAATTGTCTTTTTGAGGTTGCCGAAAGAAAGGAAACCTTTAGCCTTATAAACGCAGCTGAAAAAGGTTCACTTTAACCACCAAATTTACCTGTGGGTCCAGCTAAGGATGCTATCAAGGACCAACCCAAAGTCTTTCACCTGTGGCTTCAAATAAGGGGCCAATGGGCCAAGGTCACAATCTTTATGGTCGTCAGGACTACGAACCAGTAGACATTTAGCTCTTCCTTCATTAATGTGTAAAACATATTCTTCAATACAAACTGAGAAACTTCTATCCGACAGGTACGAGTTGAACCATTTTCAAGCAGTAACTCAAATACCTGCATAGGCTTCAAGACGGGAGAACAGAGTACCATGATCGACTGTATCAAACGCAGCTGACAGATCTAAAAGCACCAACAGAGAGGCATGGCCATCATCAACAGCAGTAAGAAGATTTTTAAAACTCTTAATAGTGCTGATTAAGTGCGATGACGTGATTTAAATCTAGACTGAAATGTTTCAAGAACTTTGTTTTCTTCAAGAAAAGACTGCAGTTGCAAGAATACAACCTTCTCCAAAACTTCTGAGAGAAGTGGTGGTTTAGAAATCGGTCTGAAATTAGATAATACTCTGGTATCTAAACTGGGTTTTCTTTAGAAGCGGCTAAACCACAGCATGTTTAAAATCAGCTGGAACAAACTCTGGTGCTAAACAACCATCAATAAGACAGAGGACACAGGGACCAATAGTGTAAAAAAAAAACTCTTAAACAAGTCAGATGAAATTATATGAACAGGTAGATGATTTCATACTGCAAACAACTTCTGAGAACCGTTGTAAGGAAACTGAAGACAGCTGAGCAGCCCAGGGTGTCAAAGGAGAGATCAAGTGATGTCACCAGGAAGGTAAACTGGGCTAAGTTGTACCAAAAGGAGTCAAGACATCAAATAAAACTGGGCAAAGGTCAAAGAGCCCTGAGTCACATATCAGTGATACTGACGGAAAGGCCAAAAGAGAGAACCAAGTCCTACAGTCACCAACCTTGAGCCAGGTGTCAGTCAACATAAAATCCAGCTTGTGAGAGGTGAAAAACTCCTTTAAAATAAAAGTGGTGTGGACTACTCACATCTGTGCTCTCACTGGAGGTGCTGTTCTCCTCCCTCTTCCTCTCCTCCTCCTCCTGCTCCAGCTCCTTGATACTCTCCTCCAGCACATTGGGCCAGAAGTCACCCTCGAAGTATGGCAGCTCCTTGGCACTGGTTAGCCGGTCCTCAGTCGCCTGCTTGAAGATGTCCTAAGGGAAAGAATAGGGAGAAAAAACGTTCAGTGTTTGTAATAGGTAGGTAGGTAGGTAGGTAGGTAGGTAGGACTTTATTGATCCCACACACACATCTTGAGAAACAAATTCCAAAGTACCTAAAACCAGGCAGAATATAGTATGAGAGACAAAGAACAAGAATGATCCTCCCACAATTAATCCTCGAGAACAAATCAAGAATACCTAAGAACAAGACAAGATATAGTATTCAAGAGATCAAGAAATCAAGGACATTACTCCCATAATTAATCCCGCAATGGGGGAAATACCTGTATTTCAGCCATGAGGATCTCTGAAAAACTACTCAAAAATACCTAAAACAAGACAATATAAAGTATTCGAGAGAAATCAAGGACAAGATTTTACACATGAACCTATTTACCATGCATTTCACCCCCAGGAACTGAATATTGCACCTTAGTCAACTATTACATAGTCCTTCATAATTTCACCTATCTTATCACTGCAGTGATGTATTGTACAGTCTGATAGCTGTGGGGAGGAACGACCTGCGGTAACGCTCATTCTTACAATGAGGATGTAACAGTCTTGTGCTAAAAGAACTGTTCAGAGCCTCTACTGTGTTGTGCAGGGGGTGGGAGGGGCTATGCATGATGGATGTTAGTTTTACCAGCATCCTTCTGTCCGCCACCTCCTCGATGGAATCCAGAGGGCAGCCCAGGACAGGACCAGCTCTCTTGACCAGCTTGTTTAGTCTCTTTCTGTCCCTGGCCGTGCTACCTCCTGCCCAACCCACAACAAAGTAAGAATTTCACAAAATGTGCAGGGCTCAAAGTATTGGAAGTGGGTGCAATAAACATGAGACAAATAAAGATGCTCTTTTTTAAAAACGTCTAAACCAGCACAATCTTATCAAGTCTAGTCACCTTGATTTTATTGTAAAAACACCTGACAACCTTTCACCACTCTGGATGTGTGGACAGACGATTACCACAAAATTATATCTTTGTGTCACCTTGCATTACATCAACAAGTGGCATCTGACTGAGTACATTACACAGTTACGTGGGACTTCAGTCTGGACAGGGTTTGTGACTGTGTAGCCTGTGTGTCATCAATGCCAAAGGTAAGGGTTGGGTCTGGATTTGATTTAGAGATAATGCAGGGAACTGGTTGGTTCTGGTACCGAGCTTTGCGGGTATAAAGTGTCTGTACCTTGGGGCTCGACTGTTTTCTGCAGAGAAAACTGCATTGGTTGATGTTAATGGCACAGAGATTGAACAGAAATAATCTCTCACCTTGTAATCATGGACAATGCGCTCAGCAACAGCCTTGTCCAGCATCTTCTTGTACCACTCCTGCAGGCGTTTTGGCTTGGGGATCTTCTGGTCCACCGGGTGACAGTGGAAGATGTAATCATCCCCTTCACTGGGTGGACAGGCCCAGATATGCCCTGTTGTAAACCTGAGACATGAAGTTGTATTATTGAGGCTGTTACAAAGAAGTACGCTGATCTCCTTTTATTCCATCCACCTGCTTGTTTTCATGCGACTGATAAAGGTCTGTAGCAGCACCTCATATTTAAACATACGCACAGCATAAGCTGCTCACTTGGGGTCTCTTGCCGCCATCATCTTTGAAAAGGCCTAAAGATTTCTCTTACCCCAGCCTCTTCACATACTCCAGGTAGCCCATCAGGATCTCATGGTAGACAGCAGTCCGGAGGTGTCGAGGTCTGAAGAAGTGTACGCTGTCCAGGTAAGAGATGTACACTCGCCTCTGATTGGGAGGTGGGCAGTCCGAGCCGTACTCTTGAACGTGCATGCCAAAAAAACACACATCTGCTCCATCGATGTCCTCAAATGCAAACAAGGCTTTCATCCTGTACGGGAAGGACTCGGCCATCTCTCCGCTGTCCACAAACCTGAAGAAACAAATACCCACCGTGAGGAAGTGGCGGTGATATCTGAGAAGGGCCATCAGCAACTCTTCCCTGGTGTTTCATTACCAGCATGTGCCTAGGAGCTCTACATCACATGCACATGGGTAAGTGTGCAAATGAGGACAGCAGCTTCTGGATGTGCAGTGCCTTTAATACAAGAGTCATAACTAGCTGGTCAGACAGACCGTGAAGACAGTCGACAGTTTTAGTGTTGAATGTTGAAGGGAGACGTGTATTTGGTTCCAGTGGGTAACAGGTGAGATGCATGTCTGTAACCAGCAACAGGAACCTTTAACTAAACACACAAACCTCAAACAAAAAGGACATCACCTGTAAATGCAGCACAGATATTGTATCAGTCCCGAGGACAAAACCACAGATTTCATTTAGCGTAGGATGTGGTATTATTTCTGGCAACTCAAGCTTTCCCAAATGGATTATGATTTGGCAGTAATTCTATATCATTTCCATTTTTAAATTAACTAGATGACTGCAAAACACAGATGGTGCCGTCCAGCGGTGGCACTGAGTGGTCTAAGATTCATCAGTGAGATGTGGCACTGAATTCATTTGTTGCCTCTAAAATGAGCCTTGTGCCATTGTTAACATGCACTTATGTTCCACCAGTGGTCAGAATATTTCCCATAATTCAACAAACTCTCAGTTCATTAACTTGTTAGGTTTTCTTGCTGTTGCCTGCTGTACTGCGCAACATGGCCAACATTTTCTATGATCAAATGACAACAGGCAAATCATAATTTTCGTTTTGTGCAATCATACCGTTTACTGTTACACAAGTGAGACAGTGGCGTATCAAACTGCATCAGTACACCATCATCCTCGATGTGATGAGTTCTGCTCCCCCCGTACAGCAGTTGTGAAATGCGACCTCCTACCTGGACTTCATGCCCGGCTTGACCTCGACCATCTTGTCTGAGACATGGACCACTCGGATGGTGACCTCACCAGATTCGGAGTGGTTCTGTCGCTTGAGGTAGTCATTCACTCGTGTCTCCAAATAGCTCCCTAACTTGGTCTGAGGAAGCCCTGTGGAAAACAAGATGAGGGAGGAAGAAAGATGGGTGGAACACAGAAGTGTGGGGACAGATGTGACCCTCTGCCTGAAGTGATCAAATTCAACTTGACTGCCACTGAACAAGTAAAAGGACCTGACGAGCACATGCAACTGGACACGTCTCAACACATACTGCCCACTGAGCGACTGCTCATACTGGTGGCTTTATGTACAACAGCGCCACTCAGTAGTCTGGGCAACACAAAATCAGAACGTTATTGCCTGTTAATTTATTTTGCTTTGGTTAGTGAACCTTCATTTTGTTAATCTTTCTATAACATCTGGATTTCCTTTATGGTTTGTAAAATTCATTCCTCCTCCTCTCACTTCCCCCGTCTTTAAAACTTCACAGTAATAAACCAACACTGCCTGACACTGGCAAACAAAGTGAGTGGCTCCAAAATGAAAGAACAGCTGTCCTTAGCAGGTTATTTGGATATTGATTACAGAGTAGAAAACAGACAGTGTTCAATTCATGAATCCTGCTGCTGAACTCAAAGTTTAGAACCAGGCAGCAATCACTGCCGGATCAACTCAAAAGGATAATGTTGCTTCTAACTGTTGTCAAAATAATTATATACAAACGAAGGTGAAAAGTGATAAGAACATGTATCCCACTTACTTTTGGCTGCGTATTTGTTCTCTTTCCGTGTCTTATTGGCCTTTTTGAGGCAGTTGTCACATACAAAGCTGTGGTTAAGGAAAAAATAAATATCAAATGGTTAAATTTGAAGGGTTACCGCCTGCTCTGTCACAATAAGCTCCACTGACAGTGATGGAGTGTCTTTAGTTAAGCAGTGACTTGGCTTTTCAGTGTCCCTTCTCTTTTGACTGACTGACCAACAGGCCACACATAAAGGGAGATCAGACTTTGAGCAGTGAGAGAGACTCGAGCTCCAGGACTCTGTTTGCATGTGTATCTGCCGCAGCCAGCCTGGCAGGCTCTTTCTCTCCTGATGCAATAATCACAACAACAATCTGCTCAACACTGCACATCTACAGCTGCATGAACATTCATGTGTGTTGTGACTGTTCTGCTTTCCCCAACACCTTTAAGGGTGTTTTTAATTTAAGGAACACAAAAGGCCAAATGCATTTTACAGACCCAGTCACGTAACTGTATGTACAGAGCGTGTGCATGGCAGCTGGCTCACCCTGACGGCCATATGGTTTCATTATGCAGGACACAGATCTGGTGCATTTTACGACCGCAGTCAATACACTCCACAAGCCTGAACAGGGGGAAGACAAAAGACAAACACAATATCTGGAATTAATAAGGCAACTTGTCATGCATGATGGAAATCCCTTGTGTGTTCCTCTGCAGGAGCCACACAGTTACTAAATAACACAAGCCAAACTATTTTTATACTCTTCTCGTGTTGATTATTGACAAATAACCACTATTTACTGCTAAGCATCTGATTCCAATGGCTCAGACTAAAAAGAAGTATGAGAACATCATGATACAATCTGCACTAAGTGCATAAAATCAACCTGCACAACATTAATAAGTTAAGAACATACAACTCAGGATCGAGTGTGTCATTCTTCTTTCGTTGGAACTGGTCTTTGCTGATGGACCTGTAGGAAATATCAGAAAACAAAATACAGTAACCGACAAAAAAACTGAAAAAATGCAAGGAGAAATTCACACTATGTCCTCCAGCTAAATATATTATTGCCACTGATTTAGATGAGAAATATGAGAGTGCATCAGAGTAAAAATGGGGTTAAATGGTTATTTCAAGATGGTGATGTAAAATACTGAAAACTGTTCAATCGCAGACAACTTTTGCGCCACAACTAACGATCATAATCATTATCAGTACCAACTAATCATATGGTTTATAGTGTTCGTACTGTACATGACATCAACTGTCTCGTTTAGCTGAAAGTGATATTAAAGGCTTCGGCAGCTTTATTTAAAAACAAACAACCGATTAATCAGATTTCATAACAGCTGCCAATTAACTTTCTGTAGATCAACTAACCGATTAATTGAAAATGTCAAATTCTAGCAAAAAAAAAAAAAAAACAAGTTTCTGAACAATGCGACACGATGTCAGCCTGACTTTTAGGTGAAGTGTGCAAGTCCCAAAGCGTACAATAATGACGGCGCTGTGTAGCTAATAAAAAACAAAAACAATGTTGCTGTGTGAACAACACAGCTTTCAGTACAGTGTTCAGACCCGTACACTTCTGGCAGACTTTGTGTTGCAGATTTAATTTTAAATTGATAAAACTGCCATTTTTTCCTCAAGCTACACTAACACATAACGACAAAGTGAAAACATGTTTTTCAAAGTTTTTCCAAATTTATCAAAAAAAAAAAAAAGAAAAAAAAGCTGAAATCTTATTTATAAAAAGTATTTGACACTCTGTGGTCAAGTGCGTCATTTTGCTTCAGTTTTCTTTGAGATGTATCTAGAAGGATGAATGCAGCCAGACACAGAGAGGCCCTGGAAGAAAACGTGCTCCTGAGTGCAGAGACCCGAAGCTGGGGTCATGGTTCACCTTACAGCACCACAGTGAACTAAAGCAAACAGCCAAGACGCTGCGGTGGCTTCAGGACCAGTTTCTGACCTGTGCCTGAAGGGCACGGCCAAAGTCCAGACTTAAAACCCCGATAATAACTGAGACCTGAAGAGTTCACAGACACTTCCCCTCCAGTCTGACACAGCCCGAGAGGATCTGCAAGAAGAATGTGATCAACTACCTGAGTCCAGGTGTGTACAGCTGGTAGCGAAGTAAAGAAGGTAAAGAAGACTGAAGCTGTAACTAATAGAAATCTGATCAATCATTTATGCTTTCTTTTAAATATACCCTCATTCCAGTTCTACAAAGTCCTGAATGGCAGATTTTGTGATAATTTAGCAAAAAAAAAAAAGTCTAAAAACATGTTTTCACTGTCATTATGGGTGATTTAGGTGTGCAAAAAGAGAAGGGGTCAGAGCACTTTCTGAAGATAATGTCTCCAACCCAAAAACAACTTCAGAGGAAATAAACTAATCATTCAATCTGTGCTGCTCATCTCTTCTAGTGTTACTAGAGAACTTGGAGTGGCAACGTGCTGTCTGCTGCGTGTGAGGACGCCCAGAGTGTGATGATACTCACGTTTGAGGTTGGGAGGGGTCGTCCCCCAGGGAAACACTCTCGCTCTGGATTTCGTTGAAACACTTCTCACAGAAGTGGTACCTGTCAGCAAGAAGCCCATATTTTGGTGAACTACACCGTTCGCCATCAGCACAGCCAATCACAGAGGGGGCACGAAGAAGCAGCCGCCAATCAGGGCAGGGCAGGGCAGGACAGGCCAGGGGGCGGACACACAGGAGGAGGCAGAGGGCAAGGTAGGTCGTCGCCAGGAGGCAGCAGCCAATCGTGATGCAGGGGTTTTGTGTGGGCGGGGGTTTTGAGTTTGCGCGTAAATTTCGGAGTGGATGATTGGTCACACCAAAGCAGGCCAATGCAGACATCACAAGCATTAAAAAAGGAGGGAAAGAAGGGGAGAAGGGAAGGGGGAAGGGAGATCGGGGAGGGGAGGTCAAAATGAACATTTAAAAAGCGTGAAATAAATCGTTACAGGTCAGATGAAGACAACAGAGGGACAAAGGGAAAAAACGGAGAAAAGAGGGTGCACAGGGGGGGGGGGGGTACATGGAGGAGGGAGGGATGAACAGGATGTGAACAATGACCAACAAACAGAGGACAGAGAGCCAAGGCAAAGCAAAGATTAGCGTCAGACATCTAGTGGTAAACAACAACATTACAGCAACATGAGAGCCCACTATGAGCTGCAGAGGAGGAGGTGAGACAGGATATGAGTCTCCAAACATGAAAGAGTGGATGAGGAAAAATAAATAAATAGTAAAGCAACAGAGACCCATCATCCTTTCAGGTCATTTATAAAGTGGGAGCCTCTCTTCTGGTGCAAGAATGGACACCCTCATTTACACAGTATCAGAAAATGCAAGCAGTCACATGTTGAGGCATGTGAATTTACTCAGTGAGAAACAATGGTGCAACAAACAAGGAACAACTGCTGAAGACAGGAGCCCACTTTATGAATGACCACAGAATGAAAATTAAAGTGTGAACTATGAGGATGGAGATGGTGCCAGGGTAACCATCTGAAGCCAAATTAAAACTCATCTGTGACTGCACTGATTGATTGATGCTATGCTGTTGGAAATACAACCAATGTGCGAAATACAACAAGACACACAAAGGCCGATCTCAACGGCCGGGAAATATCGATGTCCAGAATAGTTTGTGAATGTTCCTTGTCTGTGATGTGTGTGAGACTGAGTCACAGTGGGTCGACAGTTCTCACCTGTTCTGGTAGCTGAAGTAAGCAGCGTCACGTTGGATGGTGCATAACTGTTTTCCATAGCAGCATAGAGTTTGGGGGGAAAACTCAAACTGCAACAAGACAGAGACAAAGAGAAAAGTTATTAAAGACCTGCTCTCTGAGGAAAACTGGACATGTCCATTTCTTGGCTGTGAACAGTACTCAGCCATAAAATCACCATCTGCTGTTTTTACATTTGTTTGGACTAATCAGAACAAACTCTGCTATTTCTGACATGTGTCAGCAAAGAAAGTGAGTAAGTACATTTCCCACAAATGTCAAACCCTTAAAACCCCAATTGTGATTATGAATTAGCTCAATATAAAAGAGACAAGCAAAATGTCTTCAGTGAAGGGAAAACTGTCATCTTTCTAAACCTGCACAGGGTGATTTGAATTTAAAAAGACAAACTCTCCTGCTTCACCTTTCTCCCACAACAGTATCCCAGTCCCTGCATGACGGGGTCGATCTCTGCCTCAAACACCTCAGCCAGTTTGGAGCAGTACTTGTAGACGCGGGATGTCTTGCGGTTGTACAGCCAGGCGTTGTTGAACATCAGCCAGATGTCCTCGATGTATTGCCACGGCTCTTGGTACTGCCCAGTGTCCAGCTTCCGCTTGATGGTTGACAGGTCCATGGGGTTCTTCACGATATCAAAGTAGTCCTAGTTTGGATTCATGTGGCAGGTCAAGGTGGGAGACAAGAGGGAAGAAGATGAGAGAGACGGGGACGAAGAGCATCGCCAGAAACACGGTGGGCGTCAGGTGAAGATGTGATGAAGGCATCGAAGGCGACCAGGTGGGACCAGAGTGGGGAGAGAAGAGGGTGCAGGGGGACAATGTTGTTGAGCGCTGCAGAGAAGAAGGTTCACGTGCAAACAGAGAGACATGACAACTTCTGCCCTCCAGCTCTCTGCTTTGCACCCTATATTCAAAGTTAAGTCCCTATCAGTAGTGCAGCGAGAACCAGCCGACCGTCACGAGTCAGTCTAGTCCTCTACTGCTCACATAGCCAGTCAGAAATTTAACAAAAAAATAGCTACACATGCATTTTACATAATCATCTTGCAACTAAAGCCCAGACTCATGTAATTATTATGGGGAAATGGCTCTCTGCTGAGGTCTGAAAGTAACAAAGCTTTCAGGCCTGGGTAGTGGTCAGGGTGCAAAACCAGGAAGAACAGAGCAGCAGCAGCAGCAGCAGCAGCCAGCAGCAGCAACAGGCAGACAGAGATTTACTGCTTTTAGCAACACAATGGTTGGCGTTAACAACGGGAGAGGCAATATGAAGACGGTGCTAAAGCCAACAAATGCTGAGGTGAAGCAAATGCAAGAGGGACGGGTGAGTCTCTAAGCTGCTTTTCTGTTCCTTCTCTCAAAAAAAAAAAAAAAACATCATTTGGAAAAAAAAGCAGGGAAAGGATGAGGGAAAAGAAAGGCGTTTTGGAGACTCAACAACCCCCCTCAACCCCCTAAATAACAAAAAAAGGGAGGAGGTGTGAGTTTCAAACAGCAGGGTCCATCTCAGTGTCACCATGGCAACAAGAGTTAGGAAACAGACCCTCATCTCTAAATGGAGCCACTGACATGAACAAACAAGTGATGCATATTCCCACAGCAATCTGCAGAGACAATTCACAGTATGCAACAAGTCCAAGTTCACCACTCATCAGTATCACTGAAATGTTATCCAATTACAAATCCTGCCCATGCAACACAACTTTATTTTCAGCCAAAGAATGAAGCAGATTAATTTGAAAAACAGAAATGTTTGACCAGTGTTGCCCATGTGGACCCATGTTGCATGAGACTGTAAGAAATCAGAAGGCTGTTGTGTTCACAGGTCTTTCATAGTCTTGTTCATACAGTCAGCTTTAATTAGAACCCCAAGGTGTGCTCACTTTGTTGCACTGAGGTTGAAGCTTGGGGCATTTTCAATGTAGTCTAAGCTGGTTGTTTTTAATTATACATTAGATAGTACAGCTTTGACTCATGTATCATTTTAGTGATATTGCACAGGGGTGTACTCACTGTTGTATACTGTATATCACAATAACAGCATTTACAGTGGGTAC